CCCCAAACCTAACTTCTCCCCACACGATGACTTCTAATGCGAATAATAAATTATCCTACACAATAATTTTTACTGCAATAATAATAGGCAAAGAACACGATACCGAGCGGACCACGTCTAAAGGTCTGTAAATATCGAGAGCTGCGAATTCATCACTTTAGGACGGTCTCCATTCGTCCCTCCAGCAAACGCGGCGACACGAAAAAAGACACCGGTACTCGAGCGTCCAAGGGCAAAATCGTCCAACTTTCACCGTAAAGCCCAAAACTGAAATCTGAAAGCACTGTAGGGTCCATCTCGATGTCCCGAAGAAACTGCCTTAAGAAGTCTTTCCCAAATTCAGACCACACGAGCCTCCACCGGATTGGCGCGTGGGCCTCACGCGCCAACGATGCGCCGGCGCGTGACCAACACGCTCTGGCCTCCCACGTTCTCCTCTGCCTGCACGTTCCAATGGCGGTGTCCGTTTCTCCATTCGACCTCTGGTTTGTCCGAAAAACGCATTTGCAGGTCCGATTTTTTTTGGAAAAATCTGGGCAAATTTTTGCTTCAGTTTCTGCTGGCTTTCAGTTGCGATTCTGGTCGGTTTCCAGTCCCCTTTTGTCCCCAAAAATCACATATATCTCCTCCAACCAAGCTCTGATACCATTTGAAGGATTTTGGGGGCTCCAATATCCAATTTCCGGGCTCAGTTTACCAACCAATCGACACCACAATCACCAAGGCTCGACCCACAACTCCACACTCCGATTGCCACTAGTTTTATCCCCACAAAGGAGACGGTGGTAGTGATTTGTAGCCACAAAGGCAAAAGAAAAGGGGCACCATAAAGGAGGCAAGGAAGAAACAAATACACAAAGTATAACCACCGATTTTGGACCACAAAGCTAGCCGGTTTTCTTCCTCCAAGCTGGCTGGATTTCCCCACCAAAGGGCAGCCAGTTTTCCCCCTCTCTTCCCACACAAATCACCCACACTAGGTTAAACAAGATGAATAGGTATATATAGGATAGGTATTAGGTCACACAAAATTAGGCCAAGACATCTATTGGGCCACCAATAAAGACCACAACTATCCAACAATAAATGGGCTAAGAAATCACCATCCAAAGCAACATTAACCCAATTAAGTTGCTTCTAGTGGCCCCGAGTTGTTTTCGGGTCAAGCCATCGCTAATGTATCGATATAATTTATCCAACAACGGTTTTACATTATCGCCCGGATTTATTGGGTATCAAAAAACCCAACAATACTACAGATTAGTGGAGAGAAGATCAAGGAGAAAGATGAGAAGAATGATACCTAGCACCGTATGGAAAGGAGTTACGACATATTCTTCCGTCGGTTCAGGCTGCTGGAGAATGCCAAAATGGACCAGGTTAGGGCCAGCATGGAGAATGGTTTGTTAACTATAATTGTCCCCAAAGAGGAGGTGAAGAAGCCTGATGTCAAAGCCAATGAGATTTCTGGTTAAAGACTAAAAATACCAAGAAATTGTGGGTAGATCCGACGGAGCCAACTATCACTGCAGTACTGATAAGTTGATTTAGTTGAATGTAGCAAAAATAAGACTGTATGGCGGATTTTGATTAAAGTTAATAATTAATTTTAATTTATATATTATATGAGACTCACAAATTCAATTTTATTACTACATTGTTCAACACTTAGTTATTAATAGATGGAAAAATTAATTTGGATGTACATTTTTAGATGACATTATTGTTGATAGGACTGAGCCCATAAACCCGAAAATCGTGGATCCGACTCAACCCAACCCGATCCGGTCGATTCGGGTTGATTTTGATTTAAAATGGGTAGGGTCGGTTCAAGGTTTAAATATTTTCAAACCTACCCAACCCATTATCTTCCATACCGAAGCTTATCTAGGGTGAGGATGAGGAAGCTAACAAGTTCTTTGACTGCGCCATTTCCCTAGCGGAGTTCGCCGCTGGAAAAGAGGTTTGCGTGCTTCCACGGTGCGGTCATGGCTTCCATGTCGGATGCGTTGACACTTGGCTCGGTTCCCACTCCTCCTGCCTCTCTTACCGCCGATTACGGCCGTCAGCCGGTGTCAGAAATGAGGAAATTTGCCGGTCACCACCTCTTCATCCTCCGCAGCAACCAACTATAGAGCTCAACCTCAGCCAGCATCCAAACCAATAGACCATCTTACTACGGTTTTCTTTTAATCAAATCGTAATTACCTTAATTATTCAATACTTTATAAATAGTAGGTTCCATGGATGAAGTAATTAAGGATTAGCAGAAGAAGAAGATCAATTCATATTCTTTATGTCTCTATATGTTGTAGTGTGTTAGGAAAGAAAAAGAAATACCAATTCACGTTCTGTGTTTTTTACTTCATTAGTATGCTATTAACTTATTTTGGACGTACACATTAATTTTTTTTTGTGAAAAAATTCAAATTATAAATCTATTCTTAGTAAAAATTTGTGATTTTCAATTTTAGTTGATTGTGTTGTATGAATGACAAATATTATTTTGGTGAAAAGTTCTTATTGAAATGGCAAAAATATTATTTATATTTAAGTCAATAAGTGTTGAAAAAAAACAGTGGACCCGACTCGACCTGATTCGAACCGGGTCGGGTCGAGAAAGAGCCCAAAACCGAGTATGTCGGGTCGGGTCAATTTTGGGCCAAACACTGCCCGGCCCGACCGAACCCAATGCCCACCTCTAATTGTCGACATTATGTGAGTTCAAAAATCTATGTCTTCATTGTTTAAAGTATTGTTAAAATTAATGTATAAAAATTGCCACTCACCAAAATGTCATCATGATGTCAAAGTTAATGTACATGTAGCAAGATTGTAGATGGAATAGGCGAGTGATGAATAACAAAAATTCACACATGTAGTTAATTTTCGTCATGTCATGAAACCTTGTTTGATCCCTTTTTTTTTTTTTTTTTTAAATACATTTTTCTCTATATTATTTTCAACCACATATTTTTCAATAAAATAATATTACATACAACCCGAGAACTTTTCCTTCATTTTTAACCATACATTTTTCATCAATTTCCTATTTCAAAGTGCATTCTACAAAAAAATAAAATACTCAAACAGGCCCCAGTGTTAATTATAAACATTGTTGGAATTACAATAGTCACTTAATAACATTGTAAAAACTAAAATGATCAATAAGATATTTTACAAACTCAATACTTTTAATCACTTATGTTTTATTTTATGTGTTCCAATTCCATTTATTTAAAAGATATATTAGTAAATATTAACATTATACAAATTATATTTACTTGTTGGTGGCATTATTTTTATTCTTAAGCAATTAAGTATACAAATGATAATAGTTTCATATTTACTTGGAATAATTTGTAATATCCCAAAAAATTTTAGAACGTGAACAGAATTTTATTTTATGCCTATTGATATTTTTCTAGTCACTAGTAATTTCAATTCTAGCCGGGGTTCATTGATGAGAAAATTCAACATGTATGGATAAAAATAATTTTTTATTTAATTAAGTTTAATTTCTTAGAATTTATGTAAATTTTTGCCAGTTTTGACGATCATTATTTTCTAAATTTTTTTTTACATACCAATTTTCAAACACACATTTATACAATAAAATATTTTGCATGAAAATTTAAAATTTTTTCATACTTTCTTACCACACATTCTAATAAAAATCACTATTCAAAGCATTATTATTTTTTTTTTCAAACAATGGCTATCAAACAGTAACTTTATTTGGCCACCATTATTTGGTATTATAATTTTTGGAATAAGTGGTTGAAAAAGAAGAAAAAAATTTCAATGTACGTATAATATTATTTGAATGAAAAATGTGTAATTAAAAAAAAGGAAGAAAAAATGTATTATAATTTTAATGGACCAAATGAGAGCTTGTTGGAGATAATTTACAAAAGATTTTATTTCACACCCCTTTGTCACTTGTCCCCTTAATTAGTAAAGAAAATATTAAAATATAAATTAAATTAAATTTTCTCATTGTCTCACACCTCTACCTATCCTCCCTCTTACATCTGCCTCTCAAAACACACGTACACACACTATCTTGAGATGTAAGAAAAAAAAAGTAGGACTAAATAGGTGTTATCAAACATAGTTTGACCAAAATTCCACGCTTTATACATAAAAAGCAACAAGGTAAAAATACTATGGACACTTGTTGGGGGTATTGTGTGCGCATTTGCAAATTATATTTAAAACCAAATCAAACAATCATTACAACAAAAATTGCTTTTTTACGGCATATGTTTACGGCATGCAATTGACGCTTGCAGTAAAATTAGACTTATTACGACGCGCCTTAAATGTATGTCGTAAACGATTAATTGCAGAAAGTATTTACGGCGTACATTCTTTGCAAACCGTAAATGATCAATTACCTACACTATTTACGGCGTTCGTTATGTATGTTAGGTTTATATTTTGTATTGACGATTCTGCGAACAACTTAAACAACTTGAACATTTATAAAAGTTTAGAGACTAAATTGTAAAGTTTCATAATTGGTATGTTTGACGTTATATGTTTGGAACAAGAAGAATTCACGTCGAATTTTCGCTAGGTGCTTGCCGAAGTGTTGCTCGAGTGATTGAAGCAGAAACTACCTCACTCTATTTTCACCCCACCGTCACTCGAGCGACAAACCATTCGCTTATACTAGGAAACCTAATTTTCTATTTCTGAGTTTTTTACTTGGCCCATAGAACCTAATTCGTCCAACCTATATATTGAAGGCGCCGTGTTTTCTTAAAGATGGATTGAACAACATAATATTCAAGAAGAATACATCCTACATAAGATCTAAAGTTCAATCCTTCAATTCATATGTGCCTCTTTCATTGAAAACATCAAAGCTATCAAATCAAACACTGGATTTGTTTCTTTGCTTGGATCTGCTGCAAAATTGCGTCGTCAACTGTGCTACATTAAAGATCAAGGAGGAGTTTGAGGAACGAGGAGTTCTTGGGGAAGAGCTATAGGAGTTATGCTGCGTAAAGAGTCAGGATTAGAGTTCGTGTGCTCATTTCAGGAGGACTGCTTTACAAAGAAGAGCTAGGATTGGTGTTGATGTACACATTCTAGGAGGGCTCCTTTATACTTCAGACAGGAGATCAGAAAGCTTATATTGTCAACTTTGCTGGTAGTCTGTAAGTTATATTGACATGTTATAGTGGATCTTTGACTAGCAAAGTGCCCAGAGTTTTTCCCACGCTGGGTTTCTCCGTGAACAATTCTGGTGTTGTTTATTGCTTTATTCACTGTTTTAGCATAACTGCGGTATTTCAAGATAGGTTATTTTAATTTCGCATTTACATAATCACCCCCTAAGTGTAGTAGGGTCGAATCTAGCATTTCTCAATGTGCATGCCGTAAATTGTAAAAAAATATATATGAATTTTTACGGCGTGCAAATGAACGCATAAATGCGGATGTTTTGTTCTCCCTTTATTTCCTTCCCTTTCTCACGCTCATTACAAAACACGAGGTGCAGTTCTTCTCAATCCTTCAATTTCTTCATGCCCTGTCCGCCAATGATCGTCGTTCTCTCCCAAATTACCACCCTTCGATCAGCCAGAAACCATTCAATCAGTTATCAGTCGTGAGCCCACTAACATAATGACCGAAGTCAGCACAGGGATAGCTTTTAGCTATCATTCATTGATTTTTTTCAAGGCATTTTTGTTTTGCTATCAATTTGCAGGGGGATAATGTGAAATGTAATTTGGGTTATCGGTAAAACTAGGGTTCAAATTCAATTGAAATTTAGTTCAATTTCGATTGAAATTTCAGTAAAATTCGAATTAAATTCAGGCTATTTTTTTCTCTTTATTTTTATGGGTATAGAGATCATGATATTGGGATTGCTGTTATAGTATTAAGGACAAGCATCCCCTGAAGAAGTGCTTGATGGATGATACTTTTCTATGGAATTGTGATATTGACTAAGTCCCACTTCTCCTTCCATGAATTTTCTCCTATAAAGATTATCTACTGCATCACTCAAGAACTTCAATTTTGGGGGTAGGCAAGACCTCAATATATTGAATACTGCATCACTTTCTGATTCATGTAGTGGATTACAACAGCCCTTTTGAATATAATCTGATGATGATGATGATGATGATGATGATGATGATGATGATGATGGAGTTACAGGAGGAGTAAAATATGGGGGTGAAGCAGCAGGAGTCAATAATGGAGTATCAGCAATATTGTGAAGTAAATCACTCAAACTTTTACTTCTTGTTTTTTTCCTATTGATGTCAAAACTGGATATTCCATTTTCAGATTCCAAATCTTCTCTTGTCCTTCTTCTATAGTGAAGAGAAACCTTGGCATGATATCTTCTAATCCAAAGGGATTGAATTGTAAGTCCTTCTTGTTGTTTGAATTGTCATGAATTTGTTGAGCTTGTAGTGTTTTATAAAATGTCTCTGAGAAACCTATTTCTTGAGCACCAATTGTGCTTGAAGAAGATGACTTTTTGCAACATAATTGTCAGAAAAAGTCTATTGATGGGCTATTGTAATAACAATCTTCATTACTTCTCTTTAATAAATCAAAGTAAACTTACTTGGAGTGAAGATAAAAGTTGCAAAGAAAAGAAGAACAAAAATGAAGAATGCAAAACCAATGTAAGTGTTCAACACTTTGTCTTTAAGACAAATTTTCCCCCACACCGGTGCTATTGAAGTCTTAACAACCATCTTTCAAGATACAACGTTTCCTCTTTGCAATAGAAGTGCTTCAAGCTCTAAGCAAACGACAAATTCGAAACTGATTTTTCTCTCTACTATTTTGATTTTTGATGCAAGAAAAACAATTTTGATGGAGTATTTTGATCGAAAGTAATCAATAAATATGATATGGAATGAATTTAGACCACAAAAGATGTCCAATTTATAGAAGTTGAGGGGTTTTGGCCAGAGAGATGCATTCCAAAATTTATCATGTTTCATGAAGAGACATAGCCCTTCAAGCTACTTGCTATCCACAAGGTCGAGCGCCCAAAGTAGGAACCAATCACTTGCTAGCTGCTAGTGGTCGTTCAAGCGGCGGTCTTATATAGCTAAATTCCATTTTTTCTCATATTTTTGGACAACAATTTCTCATTCATTTAAAATTGGTTTTAAGATTTCAAATATACTATCATTTACTCCACAAGTAAAATAAGTTAGTCTATTCACTTGCATGACTTCAGATTGAAACATATTCGAATATTTGGTCAAAGTTGATACAAAATCAATTTTTATTAACATTACTTAACAAAATCCAAACAATCCCCTAGATGAATGGAAATTACTAAATATAAAAATGCTAATACCATCACATTAGGAGAGGTAGCTTCTGACTTTGAACCTGTCTTAGTGAAATATTATTGGCTTTACTTGGTTAATTAGTGAACTTGATATCTTAAACTATTGAGTCATTGTTGTAAACTAAGAGAATAGTACTTGCACAATGTTTTCCTTAAACCATTTTGGTTATCATGATTGTGTTCAATTTAGCTTTAAAACACTCTTGGGGTTCATAAGTGTTTGATAGAATTTCAGCCTCAAAATTCTCATTGAAGTAGCTCCACGTCAACTTATATAGGTAACTTCCGTTGACAGTATTCTACCATACTCTACTCAGTTACAGGAATTATTAAAAGCGTAACTTAACATTTTAACATTCTGCACAAAGAACTTTGATTATTATAGGAATGAGTATGAATTACCTTCTAAGTGTTACATGGAATCATCATAACTTAGTTGTCCCATTGAAATAAGATTTTGGGATTTCCAGCCGATAAGGTTGGGTTTCCATCACGAAGACTCTTATGTAGTAGGTTTTAATCACATTCCCTTCGATAGCCAATATATTTGATCTCTCGGTAAACCTTTCGTAAGCGAATCCACAATGTTTTCTTTTGATTTGATGAAATCAAATGAAAATTATACCATTTGAGATTAATTAGTTAATGGTATTGTGTCTACGATGCATATATCTAGACTTACTATTATATATACTATTTTGTGGCCCTTCAATATTCGATTGACTATCATAATGTATACCTATTATAGGTATCAACTTACGCTAACAAGGAATGTCCTCCAAAAAGTTACGAAGTCATTTAGCTTTTTCACCAGCTTTGTCTAAAGCAATAAACTCTGATTATATCATTGATTGGGCTATACAAGTCTGTTCTATGAACTTTCAAGACACAACAGTGCCACCAATGGTAAAAATATAGCCACTGTAGACTTGAAATCATTTGTATCGGACATCCAATTCTTATGACATTATCTTTTCAATACGAAGGGATATTTTGTAAAGTACAATCCAAAGTTTAAGGTGTATATTAGATATCTAAGAACTCCATTCAATGTCTTTCAATTATCATTGTCTAGATTACTCGTGAATCTATTAAGTTTATTCATAGGATATGTTATATCCGATTGCATACAATTCATAATGTACATTAGACTATCTATAATCTGTGAACACTTTAGTTGATACATCGGCTCACCCTTATTTTTGACTAAGTGCAGACTTAAATCAATAGGGCTTTCATTGGACTTTCCTTATATACATTAAATCTTTTAAGTACACACTCTCAATGTAATGAGATTGAAAAAGAACAATTCCATCAATGTCCTAGAGATCTTAATCCATAATATTACACCTGCCACACATATATCCTTCATGTAGAAATGTTCTGTAACATTTTCTTAGCGTTCATGATGATATCATTATTATAGCCCATAATTAACATGTCATCCACATATAGACATACTATTATATAGGCTTTGTCTGTATGTTTTATGTATACATATTTGTCACACTCGATAAATCTAAAATTATTTGACAACATAGTTTTGTTAAATTTTTGTCATTTATTTGGAGCTTGCTTCAACCCATTATAGAGATTTAACGAGTTTGTAAACTTTTCTTTCTTACTTAGTAGAAATAAATCCTTCAAATTGCTATATATATGTGTGTGTGTGTGTGTGTGNTCTCATCCATTTGATGAATCTCAAGGTTATGCAATGCAGCAATTGCAATCAACAACTTTATCGAAGTGATTTTGGTCACATGTGAGTTTGTATCAAAGAAATCAAGTCCTTTTTGCCTATAGCTTTTTACAACTGACATAGGCTTGTATTTATCAATGGATTGATCCAGATTCAATTTGTTCTTGAAAATTCATTTACACTCTAAAAGTTTATTTTTAGGTGGTACATCAACCAACTCCCAAATATGGTTTTACATTATAATCCTATCTCACTATTGATAGTCTCTTTCCAAATGAGGTGCTTTCAGAGTAGACATTACTTTACTAAATATCTTAGGATCATTTTCTACATTATAGGTTAGAAAATCAGGATCATATGAAGTTGATGTTCTAACCCTCGTATTGCGCTTTGGTTCTTCATCATGAAGTCTACCATTTACAGCTTCATGATTTTGTTTATTTAAGCTTACATCTTCATTGTCATTGCATGGGAAGACATTTTCGAAAAGGAAGCATGTCTTGATTCAATTATGATGCCTTTAGTATGTCTTGAATATTAGACTTATGAACAATAAATCGATATGCACTACTATTATATACGTATCCAATAAATATACAATCAATTGTCTTATGTCCAATTTTTACTTGCTTTGGTTTTAGTACTTCAACCTAAGCCAAACATTCCCACATTTTCAAGTGCTTATAAGAAGGTTGATGGTATTTCCATAATTCATATGGAATTTCATCCATTTATTTTAGGTATTTTTAAAAAATAATATTTATTGAAAGTATATCTTCCCCATATATTCTAGGGTAGGCGATTGGATTCAACATCTCATTAAGATTTTGGTTTTTACGTCCAATAATACAATTTGATTAAAGTGAGTAAGGTGTCGTTGTTTGCTGGATAATGCCATCTTCTATTGCAAACGGTTCATTGTATTCTCCTCATCTATCACTTCGAATATTCTTTATTCGTTTCCTAAGTTAATTCTTAACTTCACTTTTATAATAGAAATAAAGACTTTTTGCATAGAGAAAGGTCAATTTGAGTGCCTAATTGTCAAAATTGAAAACGAGATGGATGATTCCACAATAAGGCAAACGATAGAAATGTGTTGCGCCAATTACCCATTTGAATGATTTATCGAAACATGACAAAAAGGACTAACATTGCAATAAATATTTGAAATGAGGGTGTAAATGTCAAATTTGAATTGACAGGCATATTTTCACAATAAGTGCAGATCATAGGGATATTTTTTTGTTAATTACCTAATTTTAAACCTAAAAAAGGAAGGGAGAGAAATGAAGAAAAAGTTAAGAAATGTGTGTCCTCCTAGAATTGGTAACATTAGACATTTCTAGGCTACACTAGAATATCTTATTTTGAAAAAGTTTTTCAAGATGGATAATTCTCCAAGAATGCTCCAGAACTCTCCAAATTCTTCTAGTAACTTGGACTTTCAACCCTACGCTCTCTTATAAATTATTTCATTTCCCATGTTCTAGAGCATGATGAAATCAAACAAGCAATCTTTTTCGTAGTCTTCTGATAGTTTGATCAGTCTACAATCTAAAACTAAACACTCTAATTCTTCCACTTATTTTTCAGAAAAATACCTCTAATTCCAAGTGTATTCGGTCGACGAAGCAACATTTGGGATCCATTCTCTCTCGACCCCTTTCAAGACTGGCCATTCAGCTCCGCTCTGTCAACTCAAATTTGTTCCGACCTTTCCAATAAGACATCTCAGTTTGCTATCACTCAGATTGACTGGAAGGAGACACCGGAAAGCCACGTGTTAAAGGGGATCTTCCGGGACTTAAGAAAAATGAAGTAAAAGTTAAGTTGATGAAGGTAACATACTATAGATTAGTGGAGAGAGGATAAGGGAGAAAGATGAGAAGAATGATACCTGACATCGTATGGAGAGGAGTTCTAGTAGGGCTGGACATGGTCCGATATGATTCAGTTCGGTTCTCTTTTTTCGAACATTTAATAAATGGAACTATCGGATCCAAATATAATTATGGAATCATTAGGGTTCGGTTCGGTTTGGTTCAGTTCCGTACCATAATTAAATCTTTTAACATATTCTCATGGTCAACGATCAGTGATCGTGGTTAGAGGTCGCGGCTTCGATGGGCAGTTGGAGAGGGAAAGTCGGACTCGGCAGTCGGCAGTTTCGATTTGGGCATGTAGATGTAGGTTTTCAATTTTTCAAATGATTTCGGGTCAATGACTCAATGGTTACCGAATGAAAGTGTGAAATTGGAAAGAGAATGATAAAAACTTAAAAAAACCTTGATCTTGGGCTAAGAATGAAATTAATAATAGGACCAAAAAATTAAATTAAAAAATTGAATTTAGAAATTGGTTGAGTTGGACTAGTTAGGCATGAACTTTACTTGGAAGTTAGAACATTAATAACTAAATTAGTTAATTTGCTAATTTATTTAGACAAAATTAAATTCATTCAATATAAAAAATT